CAATGGTTCGGATCGGATCACTTTTCCGACCATTCGCTATATAACGATTTTTTTTTGAAAAGTCGTTTAACGAGTAAGTATGCATTAAGCGACTTAGCGTAGAGTATATTATAGCGGGCCGTCGCCCACTATAAAGTCTCTGCTTGTTAGTTCATGTTACTTGAACAGACTAACGTTCAGCTTTACATGTTTTGGCATTGTTTGCCGCTCGCTGGGAATCTTACAAATCATTTCCATTATCTGAAACTTGATGTTGAAATTAGCAAAAATTTAAATTTGCTTTTGTAGAGAAGTTTACCAATCAGCGCCAATATAAAATTTAATTACGGTACTTTAAACTCTTCATTCATCTTAATGCGAAGCATGAGGTAATTACATCTTCTTCGTATTGAAGAAAGAATGCGCAAAAGCTTACTAATGTGACAGTGTAGCTAACGTTTACCTGGCTTCAGGGGCTATATGCAACTATAGATGAGAAGCAGATTAACTCACTCTCTTTCTCTCTTGCTATATTTCTCCCTATTTCTCTTGCTCTGTCTCCCTCTCTCGCATTTTATATAGAGATTTTCTTGGCTATAATGGAACTATACAACAAAAATAGCAGCATACGTACGTACATACATAATAATAGCAAAAATATTTATGAAAGCGTTCTCTAGCTGTAAACCTTGAAATTCATCTTGAATCTTCAAACAAAAATAAGCGAAGCATTTTTGGCTTATCTGAATAACCCGTAGCAAAGCTAGCAACTTATGGCCACAAATGTTTGAAAAGATTTACACAGCAAGTAAGAGAGGGAAACTATCCTGAGATTTTGAAAATGGACTTTCAACTTTGATTTCGAAGCTCATTTTTATTCTCATTGAAAAAAATGAAAATTCTTTAGAAAATGCCTTAGCTTTAGCATTGACTAAGTGTTTGCGTTAATAGAGCAATCGAAGTTATTACCTTTTCAAGTTAATTGCTTTTTAAGTATTTAAGATTAAGTTTAGAGATCGTTGGAAGCTTAACCTATAGAGCACAAAATAACGAAAAACTAGCAATCAAGCTCAATTACTCATCATCCGATGTAAAGGTGTTCATTGGCTTCGCTCAATAACAGTCATTTTATATGGCTACGGTAAATGAACGATGTATTCTGTTAGTTCCGTTTGCTAATAGTATATAATATTCTGTAGGCGGTGTAAAAATAAACTCTGACTGTATGACTTTGACTCTACCGCTCTCTATAAAGCCTTCTTAACCACCATCGTGCCTGCACATATACCTAAACGTATATATATATATGAACATATCTACCACATCCAAAATAATGAAATCAGAGAATACTCTGTGGTTTCCGCGCTCCCTATCTACTATCCTGCCAGAACACCTCCGTGCTGGCAAAGAAAAACTCATTGAGAGAGTACTTAAGCTCCAACTGGTGGTTCTATATGGAGAAGAGTTCTTTTGTCAATATTTATAAACTAGATATGTAATTCACATCGCTTGATATCGAACTATAAAATAAAATTTCAATTTCGATCACGGAACAAGTTTGGAGGTAAGTCGTATCAACTGCTGTCGTCTTCGAACAGAAAAACAACGTAAGGTCTAACTTAGTTCCATACACATTTTTTGCCGCCTTCGAGAGAAGCGAAAGTCTTTCTTATTTCAAAGTACTATTCACGGTTAGATATACATTTTTCTCATCTTCCTGACAAACTGTAATTTCCGCGACAAAAGACAAACTGGTTCTTCTATGCAAGAGTTTTTTAATTATCACGATAACCATATTATCCCCACTCAAAATCCCCAGACAAAAAGCAGCTGCTAATCAAAAGTAATAGTGAACTCCGCTTCCGCTTGACCGTCAATGGTAACAGTTCACCTAACTTGCACAATAATTTTTTACACCTTTGACATACTTTCGCGCCGATTTCTTAGCACCCATCATGATTCGGCGCTCTCTTCGTACGTATAGACAAAAGGAAAAGTGATGGCTATCGGGGTTTTGGTTTTTCAACATTGGACTCGACTTATTCAAAGATCCCAAGAGTTATGTTGCACACACCGCAGCGGAAGCACTCAAGGTTTTGCGGACTGTTAAAGATGATAACTACTTTTATGAAAAAGCCATTCTATGGCAAGTACTCACAGAGAAAGCAAAAGCCATCCTTGGCAAAAGCCTTTAGGAGCTTACTTGCACACTTGCATAGAGCGGGAGCTTTCATCATCTAGGAACGCTACCAAAAAATAATTAATGCAACCGCGATAAAAAATTAAACGTGTTATGCCAAAAGTTATTATATCGTAAGTGTACAGTATAAAGCACTATGGAGCCGATATATAGAGGAGGATATATTTTTAGCTACAACCTGAAATGTCTTATCCTCTCCGCTGTTATCAGGAGATATAATTGCTTCCAATTAACACGGGTTTCAATGAATATTTTATGGTTTGCTTCAAGCGTACTTTGATTCTTATGACGTTACCACCTAAATATGGGTTCTTTTTGGGGGACAAGTTAAAAAGATGAGATGTTTTTTCGAAGTGGTTTTGGAAAATCGCCTGAAAATTGGAGAAAACTTGTCGCCTGCGAAGAATAATATTTTGATTAATCAATTCATTCATTTTGTTCTGAGATAAATGGCGGTCCGAAGATGAGGAGAAAATAAAAAAAACTCTTGACTGAATCTTTAAGTCTTAGCCCAGTGTATTTTTGCCCAAAAAAAAAACCCTACCGAACTAATTTCTACTCCCGAGAGAAGACTGCCAAACGTCAAACTAATAAATCGACAATCCTCCAAATAGTCCCACAGCTTTAAGTGATATCTTCTTCGAATACGTATGCAAGAAGTAATTTGCAAAGCCCGGCATAGAATGAAGGGGCAATTTTCACATCAAGCTGTCAGGTTTTATTGCGTTCATACAGGACCAGCATGTTATTGCGCTTTACCAGCTGCCACAGAATTAATTTCTTTAAAACGCTGCAATACTTTACTAGCGTGAAGTTATTCGCGGTAAATTGTAACTTAGCAAAGACATAACCCTCCAGAAAAGTGAACAATCTTGGAAGGCTATCTTCCCGTCGCAAAACTTTCTAGGACGACTAAGTCAACTGAAATGACAGCGAATTTTTCAAAACATCTTTTTTACCCTCCTTCCCTCCTTCCGTCTTTCTCTACCTACAACCGCTCCCCACCCTGATTACCATCGAAAAAGAAAGTTTGAATTTCTCACTTCCCAAATTCTTAAAGACATAAAATTAAGAAGAAATACTTTTGCTTAAGAAATAAGAAAAATAATAGTGAGGCAGATGAGAAATGATATACAAACCGTTCTCTTCTTGAGATTAAATATTTCTCGCCTTTTGTCTACGCGTCTGCTTACCTTTTTAACAACTCTACATATATATATATGTATATATATCTCTTTCTTGTAGAGCACGTGCTAATTAAACGTGATACCAGGTAACTACGTTCAATAATATCTTTTGTGGTTTATTTCATTAGTGCTTTTTTCGCACATACTGCTCGAGATAATTATAAATAAATGTCATAATATATGGAAGGTAAGCTATTAAAAGCATTTAATGTGCATTTCAACACGCTTAAGCGCATTCATTTTAATTATCTTGTGTAGAAATTTGTGAAATGGAAAAATTTTCTTCTTAAGCAACGTGTACTGCTCTCTCCTTTGCTGTTTCATGTTCTTCTAATAAGTGCATGATGAGGGGACCAAGTCTTAGTGACTAGTGGCTATATTTAAAGTCAACAGCCGCTAATTGCACCTTCGAAGATATTAACATGAAATTTATTCGTCAGAATGTTTCGTTATAAACGTGTTTTCGTTATCTTTGTAATTTCAACGAGTTGAAAACGACTATTTTCACTCTTTATATTCACGTTCCTTGCCAAGAAGATTTAAAGTATTATTCTGCTTGGTTGCCTGCCTAACTTAATTAAAATTCGAAACGCACCATAATAGTATTCGAATAAACGGATACAACTGATATGCATAAGTATATGCATTAAACATTTCTAAGTGAGTTGATATTCTTACCGCTTATTTACTCACTTACGATTCTACAATCGAAATGTGTAGATGTATAGATGTTTAAAGGAAACCACGAACTCGCTTATTACTGTACAGAGTCGAAGAAACCTACACATCCGTAATAGATTTATAATTGTTTGACGGTAATATATCTTCAATCATATTAAGTAAGAAAATTATATTCGATCGTGACCGAATCGCCGATATCCTAAAAGAGACTACATTTTCATGCTACGTAATATTGCGTGGGCGCGGCCGATTTTTGCCTATTTTCAGAATAAAAGTGCAAATTTGTATAACGTATGTATTGTGCTTTCTGAGTACCAAGCAAAAAACTCAGAAAGCAAAGATAGGTTCGTGGGCGTTGTGGGCGTGCACTTCGATTGCTTCAAATTTGTTTGCATATTTGTAAGCGAAGTAGAATATTTACCGCAGATACTATGCAGGTGGGCAAACGGACAGATGGACAGACGAACAGAGGGGCATTCCGATTTTAAAAGTGGCCAAGAATTTATATACTATTCGTAGTGCTTGACACCTGCTTCTAAACGGTATAAAGGCTATGGGCGTGATCAATTTTTCCCCGTTTTGCACAGGCACAAGGCCTATTCAAATTTTTGTATTTTTTTGTTGTTGTAGGTTATGGGTAATAAGGAAAAGATCCATTTTTTATTCCTTTTGAAAAATAAAACTTTTTCGAGCTTATTTGCTACTGTAGGCGTGTCCTTCGATTAATTAGGCCCATTTTCAATACCAACCTGCGTGCAGGCCCTTCCAATGTTTCTGCCAAGTTAACGTTTTTCCTGCCAAGAGACAGACAGATCGACATGCTTGATTCTTATCAGGGTTATATATACTCTGTGCTTCTTTCTGGACGAAAAGTTACAAACGTTTCGACAAAATGAATATACTGTTCATTCTTCACTACAAGCAATAAAGAAAAAAAGAATTCTTTGACTCACCATATTAAAGTGAAATAAGATTTAGAAGACTGTTGTGTCAACGAGCGAACCCATATTTTGCTATGCAGGTGTTAGGAAATTATTATTAAAGAATATACGAAAGATGACATGATTCGTTCACGGCACAAGTTTGAATAATTATTGTTGTTTCATCAAAGATTTCAACATTTTCATGTATATATATCGCAATCACGCAAGATATTGCTTGTTATTGTTGATGTTCTTTTTGTTATTCTTGTTATTCTTGATGCAAGTTTTAAACAAAATCACTTCATATTTAAAAATGTAATCGTGTAGGGGTTGTTCTCATTCCGAATCACTTATTGCATATAAACACTCACACACATATATATATATAATACAACTCTCAATATGCTATGAAATTATTATTGTATTATTTGTTGTTCTTTCCAGATCAGAAAACATTTACGCTTTTGTTTTGAAATTTCTGCATCGGTGGCAATGCATTCGTGAATGGTTTAAATCATACATAATAGATTTTATAGCAATATGTTAACAAAGTTACATTTATACGTACATACATACATATATATATAATATAAGATTCATTTTTCTTTTAATTCAATTTTTTGTTGTTGCTGTTGTTTCTTTTTTCTTTTTGTTTTTTTTTTTCATTAATAAGTCAAATTGCATTTACACATACAATCAAGTTATTGTCATTTCAAGCATTTTTCAATTCTTACTTCAATGGTATAGAACGATTAAACGATTGATCATAAGTAATAATAATGATAATATTCGAAAGAGAATAAGAAAAAAAAAAATAAAAAATAAAAAAACAAAAAATTTTATATTCGAAAGCACACACTTAACATCAAATAGAAACAGTTGTTGTAACTGTATATTATGCCATAACGAAGCGTATGCACACCTGAATGCTGTGCATATCTAAAAACATTCGCGCAGTTATACCCTCACACCGATCAATTTTTTTTTTTTTTTTTGTAATCAATTTGTTTTTTATTTTTCTTTTTCGCACTAAAAAAAAGTTGAAATTTTCCGTTAAACGTCTTCTTATTTCTTGGCCAACTCCGTTACTTGCGCTTGCGCTCTTTCCAGCGTACACACTGCGACTAATTATTGGATATGCGATAACCGCATATATCCGTAAAAGAGCAAACTCGGTTGCATGTGCTTATCGCTCATGATAAAAGCTCCAACGGTAATTGAAAACGACTCCGAAGATGAGGAGAAAATAGAAAAAGCTCTTGACTGAATCTTTACTGAATCTTGGCCAAAAAACAAATAAACCGGCTTAAAATAAATTAACAAATGTTCGTACGTCTCTCTCTCTCTCTCTCTCTCTCTCTCTCTCGATTACTCTTCAATTGTATCTGCTTTCCTTAAAACTCTTGAGACGCTTGAAATGAATCATAAGTAAATGAACTTTAAGAGAAACGCTCGCTCGCTTATATTTTGTAAAAGTTGCAAGCGTTTAATTATTTATTACATTTTTTAAGTTATTTTATGATAGATCTTATGACCTTCAATAAGTCAATTTGACAACCGAATCTGAACGTTTCCTAAATCGCCATAAATAAGAAAACTCTCTTAAACTATACGTGATGCGTACATATGTACCGATGATCAAACAATTTAAGCTTTATTTCATTCATATTTTAAGCAACAACTTCTGTCAGTTGTTGTCTAATCCTGCCTTTCTAAGGTCAATAAATACACTTGGCAAAATTTTTCTTAATACCGCTTAGGAGGCATTTAAGAATCTTGATACTTTATATTCAGTTTTCACGCTAAGCTTTGACGTGAGTTTGTTACTGATTTGTTATCACAATAGATTAGTGACATCTCACACTACCAGAACTAGAAACTGAAGTACAGCACTTGATCTACCAATGAGCAAAACCGAGTGTAGAAAGTTCGCCATCAAAACAGGCTGGCCTGACATGTTTCTCCCAGCCCTTAGGCGTAATATATATTGCTTCAAAATATGTGTTATTTTTGCAAATAAAATAATTTCTTCGCTTTAATTTTATTTTTCAATGTGTATAAAGTAAATTGCACATAAGTTTAAAAGTTGAACAGATAGTCTATATATACATAAAGAAAGTTGAAAAACGTAACGAAACTACAAAATTTAAATGTTGCAGAGACCAGTTAAAAGTTGCTTATGCGAGTTGCATGAGGACATTTGAATTTGAAATTTGTTTCTTGTAATAACGAAATGAAACAAAATCGAATTAACAATTTTCCAACAAAAAGTTTTACCGTCAGATATTTTATATCATGGCCTACTTTATATCAAGACATATTTTCTATCATGAGACATTTTACATATGAAATATATCTCTCACAGAAAGCTAGCTATAAAGAAATTTATTAAATTTGTGATACAGATATTTTTCACAGACATGCCTGCTATTGTGAAAACTATGTGATTTAAATAAAAGTTACGTTATAGCTAAAAATTTTGAGTTGATTATTGATATTTCGTCATCAAAAATAAGATAAAACTAAAAAGAAAACAGGACGTATTAGAACACTAGAGATAGACACAATTAATTAATTAACAACGATAATAAATTCTCTGCTATTTGCAGAACAAACGTAATACTCTATGCTAACATACAGCGAATATAATACTCTATGCTAATTTACAGAGCGGACGTAATACTCTACGCTAATTTACAGAGCAAACGTAATATTCTATGCTAATTTGCAAAGCCATCGCCAAAAGTTCCCAATTTGTTCCAAATTCTCTGCTAATCTATAAAAAACATCTGTTGAAATTCTATACAAACAAACAATTTGGCAATTTGATAGCAAAAAGTAACAACAGTAGTAGTGAAAAAAGCATATAAATAAATAAATAAAACATATTGTGGCGTTTATTTGCTTTTTTAACTTTATTGAAAAAGTTTGGTTATGTTCGTTGTATATGCGTTTAAGGTGCGTTTCTAAAATCGATTATTTTGGTCAGTATATAGGAAACGAAGAAAAACGGAAAGATTATTGTTCGATTAGACTTAATAACTTGATACGTTTTCTCTCTCCCTCTCCCTCTCTCCCTCTCTCTCTCTCTCTCCCTTACACACACCTACTTTAAAGCTATCACCGTTATTCCATTAAAGATTGAAAGAAACGAAAAATATAAATTTACATTCCCCATAATATTTGGTGGTTTAACTGATTATTTCTATTTTTGTAGAACAATCTTGTGGAACTTTATATCATGTATGTTTATCAGAAGAGGAGCGAAAGTGTTCTCAGTTTTGATTATAAATATAAATGGGTTTTGGCGTGTGATCAATTTTGAAACTTGTTTGTAAATTTGTTAGTGACGTCTCCTTTTTTGTGAATCCGTGATAGTACACAATTGGACAGACGGACATACTTAGTGCATTCCGAATTTTAAACTGGTCAGAAATTTACTTTGTAGGATTTTTAAAGCTTACTTCAGAGCATATTAATCTTCAATTTAGTCAATTTAGTCTGAAGTAAAGAAATAAATCGAGAGTGTCTAAAAGAAATTATTGAATATATTTCAACTGGTCCAATGTACGTTAATTGATGCGATTCCTTCATTTGCAGTTTCCTATTTCAATGTGAAGATTCATTTACAAAGGCCTGGCAACACTGCTTTGCACTATAGTATAAACGTCAAAAAAGACAATATTATTGAAAACCCTCACCGTAAAAAAATTTTTGCTATGGGTGTGATTGTATTGTAAATTCTTTGATTACTTGGCATCACTTCGGTATTGCTGACATTGTTATTATAACTTTGTTTTACGAGAGAAAGAAATAGAGAGAGAGAGAGAGGAGGAGAATCGACACTTTTTAAATTATGCTTACATGAGTATAAATCTAAAACATTTTCCTTCAATTCTTCATTCTCTTTTCTTTCGTGTTTTTAGTTGGTTGCTAGGAATTATATTTGTTTGCGTGCGCGTATAAGCAAATAACGATAATTAAATTTTTTTTAAAATAAATTACTAATAATTTTACAGCAGTAAACTTTTGTAGAAGAATATCTATACGTATGTAAATATTAACTGCAAATTTGAGCAGATTTCCAAAAAAAAAAAGAGTTAACTGTTGAATCATTGCCAACACACAGGGTTATACGAATAATTTAAGAAATCATTTTCAAGTGTATGTACGCGTTTGAGTGTTTAAAGAAGGAAAAATACGTTAAATGAATTTTTCTCACACGAAAAGTTGAATAAAATTATAAAGTATATATATTTATATATATACTCGCGAAAAAATATCGCCTAAAAACTTAAAATTTTATGAGAGAGTGATTGTCGTCATTTATGTGGTTTATGTTTTACGTTCGATGTTCGTGTATATTGACATGAATTTGCAAATATAGTTACGAGTAACTGTCGCAATAAACAACATCACCAACAACAACAAACCGTCTATTCTCCTATTGTGTTTATTGTAAAACGGTTTGCCATCATTAACGTAAAACGTTGACATTTTCTTAAAGATTCTATCGAAAATTTAAATCGAGATTTTCTTGCGGACCACATCTCTTAACGCATGCATGTCTTCCAGAAATAGTCAAAAATACAAAAGTAATACCTCACCAAGTCCACCGTATCAACCAATTCCAAAGAACATTTTGGCGGACAGTTCGGAAATGACAAACAACAGCGATGACAATGGGGAGGTAATTGTAGATCGAACCGGCGCCGGTGCATTGCCAACAACTTATTCATCTCAGCAATTAATGCAATCATCGGACAGTGAAAGTGTGGGAAATGGCGGTGATGGACGCGCTGCAGGTGGTGTTGATAATGAGGATAATAGAAATCGTGGAACCCCTCTGCGTTTATCCCATGTCAGCCGATCGCAATGGTTCACTGTTATTGTTCTATGTTTTGTAAACTTAATTAATTACATGGATCGCTTCACTATAGCTGGTAAGTTATGACAATGATAAAGAAACACCGTAATCGGAAGACTTGAAACTTCGTTTCGTATATAAAAGGCTAGTCCCTACCGCAAGTTTTATCATAGTTTACAGTTAGTTTAGCTTTGCAACTAGCCATTTTTATTGTGTTAGTTGGCCAAAGGAAAAGGGGGCGAAAAACAACGCATTGAGTAAAAGTAGTTCGTAAAACCAACGAATCGAAAAAGAGTTGAGTTGTGACCCACCTTGCATTATCCGAATGGTCTACTAAATCAATCATAGTTTGTCCGTCCCGCTTGTTGTCTGTGTTCCAGCATTTAAAGCATTTTAAGATCGCGCGAGGTGAGCACAAATAAAAATTCGCACCTTCTTCTCACGAAAACTTTGCTTAATGTTTTACGCTAGCAAAAGTTTCTCTATTTTCATTCTCCGTCTTCATGTAATTGTTGAGAAGCAAACGAAAGCAGACGGCGACAATGCATCCTAGAACAACACTTGTGCTCGTCTAACGTTAGCTTAAGAAGATGTCGTCATCCGCCTTACTTTCACGAGAAAAAAAATTACAAATCAAATAAAACCTATTATTTAGATGTTGAAAAGTCAATTGATTATTTTTTATCACGACTCCTCGTGACGCGCCGTTAATAGGTTAATAGACTCAAAGTAATTAAGAGAATGGGATTTTTTGTTCCTTATACCCGTTTATAAATAATAGGAATAATAAGAATATTGGAGCAAACTCGAAAGTTTTAAAAAGAGAATAATCTTTATTTCATTAAATTAAAGCCAAAAAATTTGTTTTGTTCACATCACGCTATAATGAATTTAATAGAATAACCGATTTAAATGAACGTGACTGACTAGCTGGCTGATTGACTGACTGACTGACTGATTGACTGCATAAAAAGAGATTACACAAAAATCCAAACACATTATGCACACAACCAGTGTTTATTTGTACGTGTACGCGTACTTAAGTCTCGTGACACAAATAATTTCTGTAGGCATAGTTTTATGCACATATATATATATATATATATATACATATATTTTACTATTTCACTTTTATTGCGGTTTCGGTTCTGTATTTTTCCACATGAATGTGTATGCCTGCGTTACAAATGGGCAAAGTGGTTGTAGAATAAGGCGCCAATATTTATGCAAGCCAACGTTTCCCTATATGCTTCGGATGCTTGAGAACAGATTGTTATTTCACTTACAGTATGCCAGTAAGCTTAGTTTTTTATGCATAATCATGAACCAAGCATTTATATAACGAAAGCAAGAAATAATTAAATAAAACCACATCCCCTATACAGCATGAACTTTGCATACCTACCTTCATCGCAACATATATCGAAATCTTAATCTTAAGTCATTTCCTTCTTTTAACATATGCTTGGTATCACGGGGAATAACAAATTTTTCCGAATGAAAGCAGAATTTTTTACCATAAATTTGTGTCCTCTACCACTGAAAACAGGGGCTACCATAATTGTTCTTCCATTGGCAACACTTACAAAAAAAAAAATAAAATAATAATAAAACAATTGGATTGAGCATGTCCGGCCAGATCATCTTTGTGCTGATCATGGTGATAATCTTAGAACTTGGTCTAGAATTATAAAACATTTTTTCTCTTGACCTTATTCGAAAAATTTCGAAAATTAGCAAAAACCCTGAGAAGAGTTGTCGAAAAAACGCTCCGATCCGAGCTTTGGGCCAAAGCTTCTGGGTGTAGCAAGGAACAAGTAAAAACATTAAAGGCTGTCACGACCCTCCATTAAATACCCCACACCGCTTCGATTAATACGACTTCTCGTAAAGCCCTTTTGTGAAATGCTGTTTCAAAAAACGCTCCGATTCGAACTTTGACCCAAAGCTTCTTGGTATACTTTTCGACCACTCTCTATATAACGCCAAAACGAAAAAAATTTGCAATTTTGAAAATTTTTCGAAAAAACCCGCTGTGTTAATAATATTTCATCATTGTAAACTGGTATGAAAAATTTGGTTCGGCTAGGGCAATTTTTTGAACCCCCTCCCATATAACCATTCCTGCAAAAGCAAAGTATTTATATGGTCTTACTTGCAATAATTCCTAGTGAAAATTGGTTCATAAGAGTAAATTGACAACGTACCGAATTTGGACCACGTACGTCTATGTTTTGAATAGCATCACCTATAAGGATTTCGAGGAAATGTAAAACCTTCTATGCTAAGAAACCCTTATTATTAATGTTTAACGATGAAAATATTGTTCATGGTAGAAATTTAAAGCGGACCAAATTTGAACCACACACATGGTTCTCTCTCGCACCTACCGCACTCCTTAAAAGAGTTCTCATGCACAGTAAACGAAGTAAATCGTTATGTTTAATGCTTTATGATGAAAATATGTCCATATAAGCAAAATAAGCTAAGAGATTAACATGGGGCAATTTAGATCATATTGGCCTATTTTTTAAGGGTTATTATGAAAAGCAAGTCCTTATATGGCGAGAAAGTATAATTTCTAGTTTTCTATGATGGAAAGTGAAAAATAATAAAATTTTTGGGAAATAAATTAAGTTTGTTAAATTCAGATCCCGCCATATGACGGTTTGGGTATCCCCGCCTATGCGGGCTTTCATGAAAAGCAACCGGAATTCTTGGTGTATTATTGACCAAAACGAGCGAATAATTGTACTAATCGTCTTAGTATAGGGTGTTTAACACCCTTCTTCTTCCTAACTTGGGCAAACAGAAAAAGTCAAAGAATCATATATGTAATGCGAGTGCGATGCACTGCATTAATTGAACTTTGGCTAAGCTCTTCGGCAAAATAGTAGTCGCATGCAATATTTACTCTCAAATCTGTTATTTGATTTATTTTTTTTTTGTATTTTGATGTTGAAATTCAATAGACTAGGTCAAGTTTATATTTACTCTCAAATCTGAAATCTCTTGCGAACAAATTTGAAAGATACTTTTACCTTTGAACTCATTTCTCCGAAGTACTTCGAAGTACTTCAACTTATGTGAATTATTTGGAGACTTAAAAAACTATGAGAACAACTTAAGAAAGCTTAGCCAAGGCATTGCCCATTATCTTTTGATATTTTCGTTTCTTTTTTTTTGATTCGCGTGTGTATTAAGTATACATGTATACACTTTCTTAATGTATTTGAGACGCTTTTTGAAACATGTATTATCATGCCATATCATATTTCTGCATACAATGCATTCGACCCGGCTTATATTAAAACTGGTTTTTTTGTATGACGTGTGCCTCATACTCTGTCTGAGTTTCTGACACGAGTTTTAAAGAAATTTTGCAGGTTTCGTTCATATCGATGGCAGGGATCTCGCCACGCAACAGTAAACAAACGTATGATAAATATTTTGCTCTTTTTCAAAAAAGATATATACACATGCACATATACATACATGTATAAGAAATTACGTTTAATATAAATTAAATTTTTTTTTATATCTACTTTTATTATTGCAGTTTTTTTAATATCAAATAGAATGGTCTCATGAATCTTCTTTTGTTTTTTTTTTTTTCTTTTTTTTTTTTTGTAAACATAAAATAAATATTTTTTAAAATCTCGCACTTACAGCGCTAGGCATATTCGTGCAAATATGTTTACATTCGTTCTCTTCTGTTTGTTTATTTTTCGACTACAATTTGTTTCGTTCGAATTGTACTCATTTTATTAAATGTATGGTCAGTCAATCAGGTGGTTCCTTAACATAGTTGTAGTTGTATAGAGGCCAGTGAATCGATCTGTTTTGCTGATAGCTTTGTAACATTGGAAATAAATTTTATGCCCAAAAAAAGCAACGCCACTACATTACTCGTAATTATATACGTATGAGATGATGTGTAAAGCATATATATATTTGTCCAATGCCAGCCACGTTTTATCGTTGCGTTTCCTCGCCGACATTCACTTTCGGAGAAATGCATAAAAACAAAAGAAAAAACAAAAAACAAAAAACAAAAGAGAAATCAACCAAAATCGTATTGTGATATATATTTCGTTGAAAAATGTGCAATAACACGCCAATCACTCGATTAATTTTAACAATTCTCTTGTTATTGTTGTTGTTTACTTAACAACAATAAGCGATACATTGCTTGTTACGTCATTTAATTTTTAAACAATCGTATCAGTCCGTGATTGGTTGAAAATAATCGTACGATAAATTTTTCTTGCAAACTGAGAGCAAATATTTAAAAATGCTTGGCAAAGCAAAATTAATTACCAGCGAGCAAACAAAAACAAAAAAAAAAAACTTATATTCACTTGAAGGCGAACTTTGAATAAATGTATGCACATATACGTATTGTCGGTTAGCGGGGTGGACGAGGTGTGTGTGTGTGTGTTTGCAATTGTGTAGTTTGATCGAAATCATTTTCACAAGAATGTTGACGATCTTTGCAAATAATTATGCCAAAGTTCAGCGACAATTTCATTAAAAAGATATTCGGTTTCTTTCGATGAGTTATTCGCCGAGCGAATGGGGCTCTTTTCTAACTTTGATCAGGAGGCCTGACAGAGTACCTCAAAATGCAATAGTGTTATTAAATCTTATTTGAGTGTAGACATAACAACCATCCACGTAGTTGAATGAACTATTATGAACATAATGATTAAAACTGAGTACTTTTATGAATCAACTCATGCATCCCGTCGCGTCATTCCGTTTTCTGATGACGCGTGTAAAATGTAATGAAGCGTGAATACGAAGCATAACCTGTATCTATCGTAGAAAGTTTAAAGTGACTTTATTCTTGAAATCAATTTTGTTCTTTGCCACTCCATCTGCTCTGTCCTTATACTAAAATCGTGATCGCTACTTCATAGCTTTACTGAGATGAACTAAACTGGTTTTAAATTTGTGTATATATCGCCGAAGTATAAGGATACAGTATAATTGGTCTTCCGAAATGTGCGTCAGGGGCCGCTTAAAGTGTAGATATTAGTGGCCAGATTTTTAATCGATTCAGATCTATCCATC